GGAATTTACCTTAGGTTACTACTCAATCCTACCCCTGAAGCCCTCAAACCCTCATGAGCTACAGACTATAGGTTGGGGGAATTGCAGAAAATATATCGGGGGTACAGGGGAACCTTTTAAGGAATATACGAGAACTTAGTCCAGAGATTCCTTAACCCTAAAACAAAAAATCCAAAAGCTATCACCCCTATAGCCCCTAGAACCAGCCTCGCAAAGTCATCTCTAAACCCTAAGCCTGAAAGAAATTAGGCCTAAACCTATCACCCCCCAAATCCCCTTGAACCTACTAGGGAATCTACTAGTCCTAAACCCTAAACCTATCACCCCCCTTCCCCCCCCATCCCCTTGAACCCATTCAGGAATCTACTAGTCCCTAAACCCTAAACCCCAAACCTATCAATCCCATATCCCCTTGAGCCCCTAACCCTAAACCCTAAAGCCCCATATCCTAAACCCAAAACCCAAATCCCTTGAACCAGCCTCACAGCCTGCAGAGGTCCGGTGCTTCGTTCGCTCGGCTCCTTCCTGGAGCTCAGCTAAAGCCACACTTCGGTCCTGAACTCAGCTATTTAGGGTTTGGGGTTTAGGGTTTAGGATTTAGGGTTTAGGGTTTGGGGTTTAGGGTTTGGGGTTTAGGGTTTGGGGTTTAGGATTTAGGGTTTACGTTTTAGTGCCTGGATTATGGGGATGGGGAACCCCAAAAAGGGCAGCCCTAATCTTCAGCCCTCATCTTGAGAAGCTCAATCATATAGGTGCTTTTAGATGACTGCCAAGATCATGGTCCAAGATTCCTTGGAAAGCTATGGTATGGGGATGTATAGGGTACTTCAGATAGACCTTAAGACGATATATGCAAGTATGCAAGCTTCTGTAGCACGCTTTGCAATTGTTGGGTTCCTAGACCTTGTTGTCGCAGAAAATGTGAGCTCAAAGCGACCTCGACTTTGACGCTTAAGGTTTGGGCTTTGGGGTTGGATCCATAGGGGTTTACAGTTTGGGCTAAGAGTTCAGGGGTGAGGGCTTAGTGCTTAGGCTTAGTGGGCGACACAGCCACTTTAAGGCCCCTAATGTAGTGTCTTTCCCGGTCATTTATTGAAGCCATGGGCCCCTAGTATGGGCCCTTAGCCCTGGGATCCTTACATACCTACTATATACATCTGTATACCCTATATGTACCCTTAACAGCCCCTAGAATCCCCCCTACGGTCCCACATTAAGGGCCCATACTTCTCTAACCTTAGCATTTGTGGTAAACAGTTTGGTGCAACATGTAATGAATGCAATAGCGTGTTTAACGCGTTTAACGCGTATATAGGGGATCCCTTTCTTGGAAGCACCCTCTATACAGATGTTTGTGTGTACTGCCTAAGGAGGCCGTAGGCCTCAAACAAATGACGGAGCTTGAGATCCTTTTTAATCGGGGCCCCTATATCCCTACATAATCCCCATATGATATATTCCCTTATTCCCTACAAAGCCCCAGTAGGTAGATTTTAACTTCAAACAGCCTAGTCAATGTCCTCAGTCTATCTTGCTCTAAAACCTCTGACTTGAGTGCATACTACTAAAGTAGATGGATGTGCGAAATCTCGGAGCACAGAATGCATAAACCTGAAGCCCTAAATGTCCAAACCTTGAACCCTATAAACCTGAGAAGGACCGCAGGTCCTGCTACAAAAGTATCTGCACGCCTCATTTGAGTAGAATATTGGGGGTATTGGGCCACTATTCTTACCTACTTTGGGGTGAGTCCAGGTACTATCCACCACTGGCGGGTGGTGGCGCCAGCCTAACCCCCTGAACCCTAAACCCTAAATCTCGCCCTAAACCCCTAAACCCCTAAACCTCGCATTCAGGTACACACCCGCGACTGACACTCCATCTCGGTCTTCGGGCGCCCAGCGGCGCCACGTTGACGGTTGCCGGCGAAGAGGCGTTGATCTTATACTTTACGGGGGGGTGTCAGTAGGGAATCATAGGGGAATGTATATGTATATAAGTACACACGTATATCATACTGGGATTTTTTTAGGATGATATTCCCTTATTCCCTACTAACCACTATGGGCATTACGCTTTGGATTAGTTTGATGTAGAGCCTTGGGTTCAGGGTTTGACTTCAGGGTGTATGATTTCATTTTTGCTTTCACAAGAAGAACTCCCAAAGACTTGTTTTGCGATTTTGGTGCGCGGAGCAAAACTGAACCAGGCAGGTGCAAGGTAGTACTGAGTAATACAAGTTTTGGTACTAGAAATGAGCTATGGTCTAATGGTCTAAACTCCTAGCATCCCCCTTATAACACTCCTCTACATAATCCGCTTTGAGCCCCGTCATGGAGTTTAGACCCTAAACCCTACTCCCCTACATGACTCCCCTTCATGGAGTTTAGACCTTAAACCCTCAACTGAAATCCCCTATATAATCCCGCTTTAAGCAGTTTAGACCCGAAACCCTAAACCCGATATAAAGCCCTTCAAGGAGTTTAGACAGTAGCTCAAATGAAAATGTCGTAGGGATCTGAGAGAGGAAAAAGGAGGCATCGTGCGAGGGCCTCTTTACCTTAACGGAGCGGGTTTAGGGTGAGGGGCCTCACGCGGGTCGCACATATCATGCTTATGCACTCCGAAATTGCCCAACATAGCGCTTTCCTAAAACCCTATAAAGCCTAGATAGTGGATCCATGTCATTTTCCACGTTCTTTCCCATTTGATTCTCCATTATGTGGATAATGTCCCTAAACCCTAGACCCTAAACCCTGAAGACTCTAAAGGCTCATCTGTTGCGGGTGTCCTGGGGTTGTGGTTTAAAATGCTCTGCGAAACAGCTGCCTGTTTTACCTTGAACAGGGAATTCTTGGGGAACATTCCCCCTTACAGTAGCTGTCAAAAAAGGGGCTTTCTTACGGGGATATTATAGCTCCTAGGATTTCTTATGTCAACACTTACTGTAAGGTACTTGCTGATTGGAAGGTACCATGGAGCAACGGTAAGGTCATCATTTTTGATGCCCGGCGCCCAGACTTTGAAACGTGTTTGCAACCCTAAACCTGAAACTCTACCCTAAACCCTGAACCCTAAACCTTAAACCCTGAACCCTAAACCCTAAACGCTCAGGTTGGCTTGTGTGCCAGACTGCATGGCTGAATGTTGGGGTTTCTGAAAATCAGGGGAACTTTTTTTGGGGGGGGGTCGCTATGATAAGGAATATTGTATATTGGGGTCTATATTTGGGTACCCCTACCATATATCGATGTATATATTGTCGTGTACATCGAGCTGTCTAGAAGTATACACATTCAAATAGACCCCTAAACCCTAAACCCTGAAAAGAGAAGCATGCAATTCTTCCGACCTGCAAGTGAGTTTTGGGCTGCAAGGGGTTGGAGGCCGTGTGCTTCCTCAAGTCCGCGTTAAGTAGATAGAATATGGCTTTGGGTATATTATAGTACCATCCCCATATAATATGTGCCACATTCTATCTGCTTAAGGGGGACCATAGCTTCATACTGGAGCAATTGTATGGTTTGGCTGGAATCAGCTCAGGTCCAGTACCTTCACGCAAGACTGGAATACAAGAAGGGCCGGATTTCGTGGCAGGCTGATAGGAGCGTTCTCATGCCTGCTTTCTCAGCTCATTTCTCTTGCGGCGATGGCCTAGCAACGGGCAGATGCTGAATGAGAACGAAGCATCAAAGACGCTCTAATGTTGAGATTGGTTGTCACCTCTTTCGCCTTACCCAAAGGGCTCAATACAACGCCTGACAGGTGGAGCCATCATGCCGTTGGCCGGGTGTGGGGCAGCACATGGGAAGTTGCCGCGGGCTGTCCCTACATGACAGTTAGCACGCGAGCAGCTTGCACCTTGCGGCCAACATGCTCACTGCAACAGTGGGTGTATGACAGCAAGACGATGCGCTAGTGTGCTTGCTGGGGGTGCTCAGTCGCAGAGATTGCCCTGTGTGCAGGGAGGGGAGGCCTCAGCATGCATCCCTGATGCAAGAAGTGGACTGGAACATACTTGAGTCGTGGGACACGACAAATGGAAAGGCTATTGTGTCTGGGTTGATTCTCCCTCGCGTTATGTCGGCGGCATGAGCTTGATGCATCAGAATGTTCTTCGGCATGTTACGGCTCGTTGGCGAAGTATCTTTGTTGCCTGCAATGCAGAGGCTGAGCTCAGCCTGACTTGCACTCCAGAGCGTAGGGGAATCTACCAGAAGTTGCCCGCCGCCGCAGGGATCTTGCCGATTTCGCCAACACATGAAGCCAGACTGGCAAAGTGCGAATCTTGAGGCACAGAGGCGCAGATTTCTGGGTTAAGGGATCAGGGTTTAGGGTTGAGCGGGTTTTCCAAACTTAGGGGTACCATATTGGCTGTCCCTATAATCAGGGTTATAGTATTTTGAGGGTGTTTATGGGGGTCTCCCAATTTATGGAAACTACCACTATACGAGGAAAGGAAGCTTTTAGGCTTAGGGTTTTGCGTGCTATATTGGGTGCATATGAGGATGTATGAGGCTCGGCTAAATATCATAAACGCCCGAACAATTCCTAATATAGGTGTTGCACAGGGGCATTATCCAGTAAAGCAGAATCAAAAAGAAAAGACTTGGAACATGAAATGCAAACTGAGGTTTTAGAGAGGATATATAGACCCCCAAGTAGATAGAATATGGAATTGACCTATGTTATAATAAGATCCCCATGTACCCCATATTCTGCCTACTTAAGGGGGACTATACCCCAAACCCTAAAGCCTAAACCCCATGTTCAATTTACTTAAGGGGAACTACAGGTAGAGGGATACCTACCGCTCCCGGTCCGATATAGTCCCCCTAAGTAGATAGAACGTGGGGTACATGGGGATCTTTTTATGATGTACCCAAGGCCATATTCGATCTAGTTACGGGGGGGACTATACACCAAGGTGAATATTTTGTTGGCAGTTCTTTTGGCCCCTACATCCCCTGCATTACCTTCTAGGGTCCTAACTTCTAACCATGCGCCTGTGCAACTATTGTCTTAATCTTAGATGGTCCTACAGAGGTCCAGAGTTTTCGGAAATCCAGCGACTTTTTCAGCGTATGCCTGTGGAATTCCTTGCATCCCATTCCCAGACCTTAGCCCGAAATAACTGTCAGTGCAAGAAGAGCCGTTCAGCCAGGTTGTCGAGGCCCCTTGTGCGGCAAAGATCGGAGGCATACGGGGCCTGCTTATAGGCCGTAAGAATTGAATAGGGTTGAGGGCTAATGCGACAGGGTTCGGGGACTAATGTAATCGTCTATAGATAATTTGAACAGAGCGCGGGTTCTAGTATCCTATAGTTCTGGAAGGATAAAAGGGAACTGGATTACAGGGCAGTCCTCCAGGATGCATGAAGGACTGCGGTGGTATGTAAGGCTTGAGGTGTGCTGTGGGTTGCTGCGTGATTAGAAACATCTGAGCTAAAGCTGAGCACCCTATAGACAAAAGACGGGCCTTTCCGATGCTACCTCAGCAGTTCGGGATTTAATCGGTAAAGATCTAATCAATATAATCCCTGTACAGTCCTTAAGGGGGACCCATGCGGACTCCTTGTAATTGAATTTCTGAATTCTATCCCTAGAAGAAGATTCACAGTGAAGTGCCCTTGGGTGGGTTCACTCCGAACAAAGATAAGGCATGCTGGGGTACAGTTTGGATGGGATTGTGAGAGCCCCGGTAGTAGAGTCCAGGCGTAAGTGTGTGTAATGCTCGGATACTGAGGCTCGGAGTTTAGGATTCAGGGCTCTCAGGTCCGGGTTTAGGGTTTAGGGTTAGGGTTTAGGGTTTAGGGGAGTCTCAGGTCCAACACTTTTGAACTGCACCTGATGGTGCCGGTATGGTTGCCACCTATAGCCCCCTTAGGTGGATAGAATGCGGGTATGTTGGGATCTTATTATGGTTTTGAGGAATTCCTTGTTCTATCTACTTACTGGGGACTGTACGCTCAGCTGGTCTTCCTCATTCTCAGCATCAGCCTGTCACCTCTGCTTAATTCTTATCCTGATCAGAATCTAAGCAACGTTACTAGGAGGCTCGTCTGTAATCACCTCTTCTAAGAGCACGCGGTTTAGGGTTTAGGGTTTAGGGTAGCATGTCCTATAAGTCCTAACATGTCCTATAACATATTTTATGACTAAGTAGTTTTCATTGGCTTCTTTTCCCTATCAATCATGAATATCCGTAAACCTCAAACCCAAACAAAATCCCAGTACTCCACATGCTGCTGCTGCTACTCTTACGGTTACCAACGCCATGAGTAAATAGTACTCTAACGCCTCAACCGCGTAAACCCTGGCCCTATAAACTCTAAACCTTTAACCCTAACTAGTAGGTTCCATCTTACTATCCCAATATAAACCCCAATATAACCCTATTCTTACCCCAATGGGTTAACCCTCAACCCTAAACCCTATTCTTATCCCAATGGGTAAACCCCTCTATACGAGCGCTGTTTGCAACCCTAAACCCTAAACCCTAATCCCTAAACCCTAAACCCTAAACCCTGTTGCCCTCAGGCTTTGGAAGTCAGGCATTCGAACGCTGCACTCACGGGGTCCCAGACGCTCCTGGCACTGAAGCCGCCAAGGATGCCTGTGGTCGTAAAATGAACCATAGTCTAAACTCCTTAAAGGGGGGTTATATAGGGGACTATGTAGGGTTTAGGATTTAGGGTTGAGGGTTTGGGGTCTAAACTCTTTAAAGGGGGATATATAGGGGATTAGATAGGGGAGTACTATAGGGGTTATTATGGGGGATACTAGGAGTTTAGACTAGAGCTCAAATTAAGTAGTATTCTGACTATTATAGGGTAATATAGGGATAATGGAAAATGGAATGGAAGCTATTACATGATATTAGGGTATATATTGGGAGTATATAGGGATAAAGAAAAGGAAATGGAAACTACTATAGTATATAGCTTGTTACAAGGGCCGTGAGGATTATGTAAGGTATACACAGGCGCTTATGTTATATTCTCTTGCCGTATGGGCGGTAGATTCTGTTACACGTATATTTATGTGCGTTACTAGTGTGGATTGGAATACAGCAGTTACAAGAAGCTGAGATCACGCAGGGCTATATCTAGGGATAATGGTCGTAGATAGAGGCCTGAATAAGTACCAGCATTGTTGCCTAACAACCGTTCTATAGCTATAGCATAATAATGTACCCCCAATGGATTGTTCAAATTTCTTAACTCTACATTACTCTGTGTCCTCTCTGTGGGTCTTGCTTTTTTTGCGCACTTGGTAAATGAATGAGTGTGCCAGTTCGGTAGGATTGCTTGTCGGCGCTGGGCTGCAGGATTCAGAGTAGGGGTTCCATTGTACAAGGTGTTCGCCCTGTGGTGAGGGTTGTGGTTGCGACAGCTCACAACAGGACAGATCCGCATGCACTGTCACCAGGGCACACGATGGAAGAGCTATAGCTTGAGTTTTTCTGCAGCATACACGCTCAGGACAAAACCGTGGGCCCTGGTATGGTCGCTCAGTCGTGGGGTTCCTGTACATCTAGTATGTAGGCTGATGTACTCCTGAGGGCCACAAGACTCCCCCTGTGAAGGGTGAGGGCCCGAACTAGGGTCCCAAACTACTAACCGTTCTAACCTGAGATACCGCAATTTGGAGCCTCCGTGGAGTAGTCTCACACTGAAGCCTTGTACTATTCTATCATTGTCCGGAGTCAGGGCAGCACGAGGCATGTTGGAGAACATTCCCTACTGGGTCCAAGTTCAACATATTCATTAGCATTTGTTACGCTAAGAGCCAAAAAAATCAATACCTTGAACCCTCAATCGAAAGTGCATTCCATTCTTTCTGGTTTAGGATGTCGGCCGTTTTCAACAGTGCCCCTTTTTAGGGTGCGTTAGGGTGTACAATCCTTACTGTAGAAGGGCCCTTCATTATTCTTTGCACTCCCGATCCACCTGTGTTGAAGACCCTCCATCAACATTTTACCCTAAACCTTTCAGATCTGTATGCGTACCCCTGTTTAGGGTTCAGAGTTCAGGGTGCCCTGTCCAGGTTTTAGGGTAGCCTTGTTTCGCCAAACCCGCATGCCTGACAAGGAGCGCACCTGATGCAAAGGCGCCAGGCGGGGTCATTAATTGGTACTATGTCTACTACCATGATGATTATGGTTCGCATTATTGATCACTATTATTCGTCAGTATGACTAACAGCGTTTCTCATTATTGATCACGATTATTCGTCACTATTACTCTTAGTAATCACTGTTATGACTAGTACTGTTGCGAGTATTTTGGTGGTGACTGTTGTAGCGTGAATATAGTTGCTGTTTTCGCTGGTAGGATCTCCCCTAGCAAAACCCATATTGCTAGTATTACTCTTGTTTTTGCATTACCATGATTTTTGTGGATGCTCTTACTATTAGGATTTCGGGTTTGGCGTCTAGCGTTTGGGAGGTGCATTTAGGGTGCGGGATACTGAAGGATCAAGCAGAAAGTGGAGTGACAACTCTGATTATGCAAGGTTGTGTTTTGTTGCGGTGTGCGATTTGAAATAGTGATTCATACGGGATGGATGGAACATGGAACGAAGCATTGTCTGGTTTAGGGTTTAGGTTCAGCGTGCAGGGCTTCTGGTTTAGCACTTACGAGTTTAGTATGGTTTAGTCTCAGAAGCTTCACCTTTATTTGGGAACTCCCTCATTTTGGTAAGGGTCCTGGTGTGTAGCCGTGACCATGCGAGTCCCTAGACGTTCACCTCAGGTTAGGGAAGAGTAGTTAAACAAACGCCAACTTTGGGGTTTAGGGTTTACGGGTTTAGGGTTTAGGGGTTTAGGGTTTAGGGTTCAGGGTTGAGGGAGTTTCCCAATGTTAGGGGTACCCTTCCCTATAGTAAGGATTATAGCATTTTGTGGTCTGTAGGTCCCCTTTTTAGGGAAACTTCCGCATGCAAATTTGTCAAAGGGGTGCTGTATGCGATTGCATGGATATGTTTCGAAAAAGACTAGACACTGAGTGCGCTTTTCGTTTATTTTGGGTGTGGTATTGAGGAGGGATCTGAATTTTGAACTTGCACAGTAGCTTTTCAAGATATAATATAACTGCATCGCATCTTGAGTTCCTGCAAACCTAAACCGGCTGTTGCGGAGCAAAGTTTCAGTTCTTTGGAGAGTTAACACCCCCACCAATTAACTTGAAACCCTACGAGGCTATGTAGGCCCCATTGGTGTTTCCATTTAAGTTTCAGGGAAAGCAGCTAGCATGATTTGGGATAGCACAGTCGCAATTTTGTATGGTGCCGTTTTAGGAGAAACCTCCACGCAGGCCACGAAGTGGCCCTTGAACTTGTACCAAATGAGTAGTATTTTATTTGGGGATATTATGGTACCCAATATAGAGTAAGATTATTTCCTCCTTTGGGGTATAGTATCTTTCATAAGGAATATTATCTGACTAGGTTCAACCACCAAAAAACACTACTCATATAGATTGCCTCACCATCCCCTCATTTGGCTCTGAAAAACATGCCTTTCCATCACGGCAAGTCTCCACAAAGACCAACAGGGCGTGTCCGAACAATGGGGATCCCATCTGAAACACCCAGATAGCATCGACCCTTTCTAGCGACCCCCAAGAAGGGGCCGAAGATAAGTGTTGCACACCTCCACAATGCAGATACTCAACCTTGAGGCCGGAAAACCATAAAGAATGTGAATCCACAACCCTGAGCCCTTAACCCTGCAATCCTCCCCCAAAGTATGTAAAATAATAGCCCTAAACCATTAAAAACAGCCCAAAAGGCTATTATTCTACATACTTTAGGGGTCAGGTAAACCTTAAGCCCTAAACCCTAAACCCCCCTAAACCCCTAAAGCCTAAACCCTAAACCCCTAAACCCTAAACCCCTAAGCCCTAAACCCTTGGGCCCCGTAGATGGCAAAGTGGGCCTCGGGAGGTGGGCTGTTGGTGAAAGCTGGCACAAAGTTGCCGCGGCCAGAGGAGGTCCTGCTAAGAGTTTAGGGTTTAGAGTTTTAGGATTTAGGATTTAGGGTTTTAAGGTTTCGGGTTTTAGGGTTTTAAGGTTTTAGGGTTTAGGGTTTTAGGGTTCAGGCTCATAGGGTTTAGGGTCATAAGATGTAGGGTTTAGGGCTTAGGGTGAGAGGGTCTAAGGCTCAGGGGTTTAGAGCTTGCGTTACAGGATTCATGGTCGAAGGTTTAGGATCACAGAGTTCAGGTTGTAGAATTTAGGGTTTCTGATAAAACTGTTTGAAGCATGCGTTTAGTTGCTGAGTGAACATTTCAAACCCAGCAGCTAGGTAGTGGACATGAGGCAGTTCTAGTTTTGATGAAGAGGAGAACTGAGAACTAGCGAGAGCTCTGCAGTGTTGGTTATGTTTCCTATCCCGCTTCATGCTGGCTGCGGGATGTTTTTCTACGTGGACATGGGAGTTTCCAAAATTGGGTGGTCCCATGTTCTGGGAGGGGGGGAGTGTCTTGCAATATAGGGATTAAAGTATATGGGCGTATACATGTGGAGCCCCATTTATGGAACCCCCACGTGAGCTGGGCGTAGTTGTGGCCCGTGCATGCCAACTTCCTGCCGCGCCAAAGGACACCGCATCATAGTTGTTCCTTATGCCAGCAAGGAAGGCCAACGCCAAAGTACCTCCACCATACTCTTTTAGTCTTGAGTTTGGTACACTCCTCAGATCGCGTCTCATCCTAAGTCTAGTCCAAGATTTGTTGCCCTTGGCCTCTTCGAATCCTCATCTTGGTTCAGGCGCCTGCCTTTGTAATTCCGCGGACGGCGGAGGCACACACACAGGGCTGAGTCACAGCCAGTTTGAACTGTAGAGGTTTGCTTTCATATTCAAGTGTTTCTCGACTTCTTGAGGCTTAGTGTTCCGGCAACGTGAAATCAAGAAGCCAGTAGGCTGTTGCAAGTAACTAGATGGGAGCTTCTTCAAATCATCCCAAACAAAACCTTAGAAGGCACCCCCCCCGAATCCATTGAAAACCTTTTGTCCACAAGGGCAACCTATTTTGACACGCCGCCACATAGATACGCCAGGGTTCAGGTTTCGTGTTCAAAGAGCGCTTGTCGGAAAGTGCTGGCTTGTGCATCCTACATATTCGGAAGGTAGTCCAAGGATGGTCCCTCTATTGGTTCCCCTAAATAATTAAGGGCAGTGCTCTCGGACCCAACAAGAGACCATAGCAAGACCAGCCTGTCATTCCGTATACCACAGTAGTTGCCAGCTTCTTTTCCATTATCCCGATATAACTATATAGCCTCTATATACTATAGTAGTTTCCATTCCATTTTCCACCATCCCAACAGAACCCCTACTAGCTTCTTTATCTTGAATGTATCCCAGCTTCATGCCATGAACCGCAACGGCGAGAGAGATGATACCAATCACGATCGAAGCGAACATCACTTGTGTGTCTCCTTCTACTGTCACCTCCATTTCAACTTCTTCTACTACCACCCCTACATTTCCTCCTGCGAGGGCTGGAGGCGTTTGTGGGCGCTGATTGTTAGAGGGTCTCTAAAGGCTTCTGGACTAGATAAAGTAAGATACAATAACAAAATACAATACTACATGAAACGATTGATATAAAGTACTTTCTGGACAAGAGCTTCCAACCTATGCTAGGCAGAGTCTTCACTAGAACTGTCTACGTATTATAATGGCAAACATCGTAAGAATTTGGTTTCTAATTTGAATACTAATGTGAGCAGACCCCATGCCAAGAGGTGAAGCGCAGAGCCGAAGGCGCCATTAATAAATTGAACACTATGCTAGAGGCGAAAAGCGAGGGAAACTCCAGGAACCCTATACCACCCCTGCTGCCACTCATCCTCCTCCTTTGCTGCTGCTACGGCCGGCTACTGCTCCTGCTACTACTACGCCGACTTCCGTGATTGCCGTGTGTGAAAAGCTGCCATTGTGACCATCATGGTGTTCATGATTCTCCTATTGTCGTTTGTCTCCGCGCATCCCCGAGAGTACCCCGACTGTTGTTGCTATACTGCTGTCAGGTCCCTAGGTTGTTGGGGTATATTGTGTTACAGTTGCATTCAAGGATATACTATAACATATGATAATATATCCTACCATACCATAATATACCCTACCAAAACTTATTAATTTGACATACTAAACTTACCTAAAATATGCGATTTGGTAGTGATTCAGGTTTTGTAACTATTACTTACCACTCTGACAGCCATGCTGCACCTTGCCATTCCTGCTAGCACTTGTCACGGTAGTTTTCATGTTTTCCATTCCTTTCATACTGTAATCCCAGTTTCTGCATTCTCGATTTGATTTCCGAAGTCCACATTGCCCAAAACCCTATGAACCCTCAACCCTAATTCCTCAACGCCAAGCCCTAGACCCCAAACACCAAAAACCCATCTGAAACATACAAACGAAACCCTAAACCCTAACTGTTCCCACACCCCCCTATTTGCCCGCAACATCTTCATGTTACCTGCGCACCCACGGTCATAGCATCCGTATAAGTACTTCCACAACTGCAAGATTACTGTTATTTAC